ACAGAAACAAGTTCATTCATACGTCTTTTCTTGTTTCCAGATTGGAAGAGCTCCAAGTGAGCGACAACGAATTACGATCCATAGACTGTGTGCTGCGACTACCCCGGCTCAGGACTTTGGTGGCAACTAGAAATTTGATCACCAGTTTTGGGGTAAGTTCTTCTTCCCCAATACTTTATAGTCATCTTCTGTACCTCATGAGTAATCTTTTAATGTGCCAATTCCTTTCACCTGTATAAAATAAATAAGAAAGAAGGAACCCCTAAACGTAAAATCTACGGAAAAAACCTACGTGGAATATATTGCTTATATTTAAGTAGTGTAACAGATGATTTTAATAAATATTTAGATTGTAATATCACTAATTCTTAACGTTTCAGCCCAAACCACAAATGGCGCCAGAAGACGAAAATAAATCTGAATATCGAGCTCCCCTTACCACCGTGGACTTGCGACATAATAAACTAAAAGGGAGCATCATACTTGGAAATTATGAGGTGAGTACGCAATTTCCAATCTAAACCATAAGTACTTAAATAAGTAAGTCAGTCTTACCTTAGATTTTGTTGTTACCTTCTATTTCCTAGAAGGTCCTTTCCGAGTCCCCGTGCCTTAGATAATATTTGCAAGTTCTGGTATCCACATCTAAATTATTTTTCTCCTATAAACGTATAACCTTCTCTTTATAAGCAACTGTACCATGAAGCTGACGACCCATGTCGTAGATTTGCGATTTGCTATTTAGTAACTATCACATAAAAGAGTCAAGTGCCTACATGAAATGTTTAGTGTTGTACATGAGATAACTACTAGTGATATTTAGGATTCACTTTCAACAATTTTGATATTGACAATAATATAATTTAGTTATTAATATTGGAGGGGCCTATGTCCAGCAGCGGACGAATTTAGGCTGATGATGATGATAATGATGCTGATGATATAAAATATTAGCTTTTACCCGCGGGTTTCCCCACCAATTCCTTTTTTATACCTTGGGAGCATTTAATAGGAATAAAAAGAATAGAAAATAAAAAAAGGGATAAAAAATTCTATCACCTAAATCAGCCTATACCCTGCCAGTATGTTGCGGAGAACTTAACGGGTTACCGGGGCTCCGGCTCGACATGCAGCAGAAGGAACGAGGTGGTTTTTAGTCAGTAAGAGTTTGACACTCCCTCCCGCCTCACCCAGGCGGGAGAAGTCGTTCGATGATTTTCCCCCTTAAAAAACCCTGCCTGTATACCAAATTTCATTAAAATCTGTTCAGTAGTTTTAGCGTGATTGATGGACAAACATTCAAACAAAGAGACTTTCACAGTGTGATTAAGTAGTTTGAGTGTTTAAATTACGGAAAGATGTTGTAAATAAATATGATATCTGAATTATTTTCAGTCTTCATCCTTTCGTTAATCTACCGAAATACGTAGCCGTAATAACTTGAAAATCTTCAGCTAACTGCACTCATTACTAATTAACAGTACAATATCCAAATTTAATTACTTCGGATGTCCGTTTGTTGTTGAGGCCATTACCAGCATGCCACAGATTATATCAGATTGTTTTAGTTGACCTAGGGAAAAAAATTACTAGATACGCATTTAATATGATATTAAACAAACAGTAATGTACTCACTTATACATTAAATACTAATTGGAGTTGACTACACCATGATGATACTGATAATATCGATATCAGAAATTGCTTGATATCTTTCAAACTTAATCAATCAAGTTGGATAGGTGACCTGCTAATGGTTGCAAAGGCTTCACTCGTTTTAGGTCATTGGTCGCTTCCACAGGGTGGACCTGGAAGTTGTGGCGGAGGATATGGTCTGCAGTAACTGACTTGCGATTGATATGATGATAACCCTCTTGATCTAAGACTCGAACTCAGAAGTTATTCAGCAGTTACTTAACTCAGCAATCGTTCTAATGTTTTATTGCTTCTTTGCATTCCAGCACCTGGTGTCTTTAGACCTGTCTCACAACAGTGTGGAGGTGTTGGTGGTGTCAGCATTGCGCGGCCTGCGGGAACTGTATGCAGCTCACAATACACTGCAGCACCTTGCTCTGCACGGTGCCATGCTGAGAATCTTACGTGCTCCTTATAACCGTAAGTTTATTGATTTTACTTACACAATTACTTATTCAAGTCTTACAGAGACTGATTTTTAATAACATAGAAAGATTGCAACCATTGTAACCATTTTCAAACCGTGTCAATTCAAGATTGTTATTATATATAATAAAATATCCTTACCATGAAATAAATAATAGCTTATACCGTTAATCGTTTCAGAACTAGAAACACTAACCACAACAGTACCACCGATCAACCTAGTCGAAATCGACGTGTCGCACAACAAGCTCACCTCGTTACCGCAGTGGCTCAGCGGCTGCTCCGACCTCACCACGCTACACGCCAGCAATAACCAACTCACCTCCTTACCAGAGCATCTGTTCTGCAGTGAACTCTCCAGTCTAACCAGCCTACATCTAGCACACAACAAAATATCCAGCATACCTTCCATGCCGAGACTAAGATCACCGCTCCGAGAGTTGCTTCTACATGACAACTGCATACAGTCCTTACCAGAAAACTTCTTCTCCACCTGTGATCGAATGTGCGTCCTAAATCTCACTAACAACAGATTAAGTCGACTACCACACGCCAGAGGTCCCTCATCACATTGTCTTGAAAGACTGTACCTTACTGCCAATTGCCTAACTGATGAAGTAGCCGATGTTATAATAGCCTTCAGAGGATTGAAGATATTACACATTGCATATAATTGCCTCACGAATCTACCAGAAACATGTATCAACTTCTGGCCAGATATTGAAGAACTTGTATTGTCTGGAAACTGCCTTTCAAGACTTCCAGAAAATCTACCACAGTTGAATAATATTAAAATAGTAAGAGCTCATTCAAACAGATTACGCTCTGTTCCAATGTTTGCGTGCAGTGCCTCAGTTAAAATATTAGATTTCGCTCATAATGAATTAGATAGTATAGATTTACGACTTCTTGCCCCGAAACAGTTGAAGTTTTTAGATATATCGTGTAATAAAAAGTTGCAAGTGGATCCTTCACAATTTAGTGCGTACAGATGTCAACGCCCTCTTAGTTTGGTCGATGTCACTGGACGACATTCCTTACCGTGGACACAAAAAAGTGGCTATCACGAAGAATTAAACGGCTCGACGCCCTGGAGTACAGGATTTTCTGAATGTCCAAATAAATCGTTACAGCTATGTTGTGCACAAATACGCCTACCGTCCTTCTGCAATAGGGAAGGTTTATTTGCAATCATTGATGGTGAAACTGATATTGAAGTGCCAAAAATTTTACAAACCTCTATACCTGGACTTGTACTTGAAGAAAAATCGATCAAGGAAACAGTTAATGAGTATATGAAATATGTTGTCCTATCTGCGCATAGGGAACTCAAGGAAAAAGGACAGAAAAAAGGTGCTTGTTTAATTATGTGTCATTTATCACCCATAACTGCACAAGAAAATGGTTTCGGCCACTCGGCCCGCAAGTACAGTTTGAAACTTGCCAACGTAGGAGATACAAAAGCCGTTCTAAGTAGACGGAATGGACCTCTAAGTTTGGGAATAGAAAATAATAAAAGATTGGGATATTCCACCAACTATCCCAATACTGTGCCAGATCCTGACGTCATACAAACCATCATTAAAGAAGATGACGAGTTCCTAATTTTAGGCAATGGACATTTTTGGAATGCTGTTAGTATGGAGACAGCTGTGTCAGAAGTCAGAGCTGAAAGAAATCCTGTTCTAGCAGCTAAAAGGTTACAGGACCTAGCGCAAAGTTACGGCGTGGAAGAATGTATATCGGTGTTAATTGTTCGTTTCGATGCGGCTCGATCTGACGTTGATCTGTTGATGCGTGAATTGCGGCAAACTATCAACAGCAACAAGTCGGTATGTCGATCGGATTGTTGCTGTTCACGTTTGGAGCCGTGTTGCCATTCGGTGACGCCTCCAAAACCATGTAGCGATCGGTCATCTCCAAGTGGGCAGAGCGACCGGCCACCTAGCGAAGCTGTCAGTCACCAACATTATGCTAGCGTAAGGTCACAAGCTAAAGCATCTGAACGAAGGAGTTGTCGAGGAGGCGTTGCCCGCGCTATCCGCGTTCGAGTTGAAGAAGATAAGGAAGATGACCACAGACATGAAGAAGTATCTAATCCTGAAGAGCAGTTCAAATGCTGGGAGTACATGCTTGAACAAAACACTCAAATGTTATTTGATAAAGAGTTAGATAATTTGTCGAAAGGCATCAAATCTAATGTCAGCAGCTTGAGAAATCTTAAAGGTCTGTCAGGTAGCAGTCCGCAGTTACACTTGACAGGGAAACAATCAAAAGGTATGCCGTTCCTATCAAAACATTTTGGAAGTGCGAGGTCGTTTGGCACTGCACTGAAACCTGACTTTAGATTTGGTTCTGGTAGGTTACCAAATGGTGGTCCAAACGCAGCGTACTTTGGATCACTGCAGCGACTCATGCCCTACCACCTGGAATACGATTTTGCTGTGATACAAGAGAAATCCACCCAAGACTCCTTGGACCTTGAAGGTCGCATGCAACAGTACTGGGGTGTAGCGACGACAGAACTGTAAAATATAATATTTAATATTGTTTAGGTACTGATAACTTGTAAGTTGTAAATAAAACTTTATTGTAATTACATATAAGTACAATTATTTATAATATAGATACCATTCATCTGTCGACTAGATTTTTTGCACAAAGTATTATAATCACTATGGACTTGCCTATATCAGCTATTATTACTTATATTACATTAATTCTATGTACAATATTGTGATAATTTCTGTCGAATATTAAATAAATATGGGGTTACGTTTATTCCAATTATATTTTTCTTTTGTATCATTTCATAATAATGTACATTAATATGTATGTGGCGCCTTGTACGAAACATTACGCCTTTACAATTCAATGATTTTTTCTACAATCGTACTTTATTTACAACAGTGTACCTTGCTAGTAAGGCGTTAATTTTTATTCTCTGCTAGTTCTATGTACAAAAATTTATATTCTTATATTACAAATCTAAACGAACGGTACAATCACAAATATACACCAAACAAAACATCATTGCGGAAAACTTAGCAACTGTTTAAGTTTTTCAACATACAATGTGAGTACGATAGTTTTGAGTGACAAACCAAAACCAAGGATTTATTGTATGCAGTGTCAATGCCTATATCAAATATGTATTTATTTACATTAATTTCAAGTCTTGTGAACATTTAACAACGACGACAACACTCACATCCCTGTGCACCCAGCAGCCACCACACCACACATAATATTATATTGTTTCAAGTTTAGTGCTTTGTGTTGCTTGCTGAAACAGTAGCACTTTAGCAAGCTTCAGTTCCTTGTAACATTAACGTGTGATTACTCTTTGGCGTGGTATCAGTGGTATATATTAAACAGTGTCAAAAGTGCGGCACACCAAACTTCCACTGACTTCGTCGAACGTCCTGAGCGTGGCAATGTTTGTAGTGGAGTTACAGCTCACGCTTGACGACGAGCTCGAGAGGTTGTGGCGCGAGCACGTGCGGATAGGGAGGCCGCGGGACGGGGGGCGGCGGGGGCGCGGGCTGCGCGTGCGCCGGCGGTGGCCGCCGCTAGGGGAAGGCGCGCGGCGAGTAGTGGTGCGCCTCGCCCAGCCACGAATCTGGTGACGGTGGAAAGTCGGGATATCCACCCGCAGCCGGGGACGATGAACTGCTTAAATCTGATGCACCTCCCGCTCCACCTGCTCCTCCGATACCAGCACCACTCATTGCTTGACCTGTTGATAGTTGATCAAGTCGGAAGGTTAGGATTTATAATACATACGTACAACAGTTACAAATATCATGTTTTCATCTTTTTTAATATACATAGATGCCATATTGCTACACAATCATACATTGAAATGTAGAGAACAGTAACCACAATTTGTTATGTGCAGACAAGAGAACAGACAGAGAATCTTATCAGATTAATTTCCAAATCTCGTAGCATTTGCTACGAAAAACGTAGCAACAAAATATGAAGATTAAGAAGATAAAATATACTGATATTCATATTGGATATCAATCTTACCTATGTTAGTGTATACGAGATGGTCTGGTGGGTAGTGGTAGTGTGGATGTGGCGGTGAGTGCGCGCGCAGGTATGGCGGCGTAGCGGCGTAGCGCGCGCCCCCTGCCGCCGCGCCGCCGCCCGCGGGCGAACCTTCCTCGCCCCCTAGTGCTACCGTGCTGTAGCTATCGTTGCTAAGTTCTGTAAAGACAGATGTCGTTGGTTGCAGTTCAAATTTGCAAAATAGAAAATCGCAGTATTCAAAATGAAATTTTATACAGTTTTTTTAAAATTTATTGCTTTTTAGCGTTTGTCGTCCCTCAAATTATTAGTAATAGAGTTTTTGAGAAAAGATACTTTGTCAAACCATATCATATCTTAAACACAATTACTAAATGATATTTTTATGTACCAATTACCTATTAAATAAATCATAATTAAAGGTATAAACAAATTATAGGAAAAATATAAACATTTACCGTGATGACTAAACGAATCCAAGTCAATCTTGAGTTCATCCTTGTCCAGCAACCTGTCGTGCCGAGGCGAGCCGCTTCCACTCTTCATAGACCTAAAGTATTGAGACCAGCGCGTCCGGCCAGCATCTTTCTTTAACCGCTTTTCTTTTGCTCGTCTGGTGAAAAAAAAAATAAAACGTGAAAAGATTTTTTAAGAACTAAAGTTGTTTATTGTTTGTTGTCCTACAGATGTTCCCAACTACATACTCTATAATGTTTCAATTACACACAAAAATACCAAAATAAAAGCAAACTAATAATGACTAGAATGACCTAGAATGACCCAAAAATTGTTAATATATATAACTATATATATTTCAATTTTCCAAGTATAGTTAACTTCCGAACTGCGTCAATGAATTAAATCGCTAAACCAAGTTTAATCATTAAAGTTTACACAATTTTTTGCGGCTACATATTACAGTAACCCTGTTTCATTAAGCGATGGGCACTTCGAATAATGACTGAACTTTGATTTAATAACGCAAACTCGTTATAACGCTTCGATTACTTTCGATTTAAACAAATAATCGTGTATTCGATGTATAAACAAAACACCCCCGTCGCATGTTTTGCGTGTGTTGTTATTAGTGGAGCGACGGGGTGCCGGCGCGGGCTTTCAACAAAGAGGTTGATTAATTAAAGTGCCTCCGCCCAGTCCGCTGGGAGCGAAGCGCGTGCTGCCATCTACCTCATGCGGATTATTGATACATTGTCCCGAATTACCTTCTTTGTACTTATAAAGTTAATAGCCCCAATCTAAATATGTTACCCGGTACTACACATATGTATGAGGATTTAAATAGATACATGTAGTTCAATATTTATTGTTGTTTATTAAAATTATTGAAGTACTTTAATAAAGAGAAAAACAGGAAAATAAAATAGAGACGGTACATACACCAAATATGTATAAAATGGTAATTTTAACATTTAAGATCAAAACCTCATTTCTCAAAAACTCTTTGGTAAACACAATCCCTGTCGAGAAACTGGCTGAAATTCACGAAAAAATTATGACAAAAGCCATAAACTAAAAAGAAAGACAAAAAGAAAAAAAAACATAATGGCGTCAGAAATTATTTTCTACAATTATTGCCAGCATTTCCTTAGGTGTCATTAAAAACCTTAAAACTTAGAAACTTTTTTCTTTAAAATGTCATTGCTGTTATGGCTATGAGTGTAGATCTTAGATTATGTAGGTTTTAAACACTAAGGTGTAAATAGACCTGCATTGAGCGCATACGAATTAGATACGTTTTATTTTTCTATTATAGTTTGTCTCAAAAACTTGGACATAATTCTACGAGTTTTATTTTCGTATCACTAATTAACCGACTGCGACTAGACGGAATCTGAATACTAAATAAACCTAATCAATATGAAACGCTAACAACACGTTTAACACGAGTTGTATTGTGTGTATAGGTACATAAACTATATAGCATAGTTATATCGAGCACATAAAGTAAAGAAGTCGAGCATTGTGATATCGCGTTCAGGTTTACGAGGCGAGGCCGATGTGCAGGGCGTGACCGCTGGCGTGACTGTGTCCACTCGCGCGCAACACAACATAGTTCCGCGACTATGCTCCCAAACACCAACAAACATTCGCTACCATAGATGCACAATGCGCAAATATCAAAGGCCGGCCTTTTGTACGAAAACCATTATGATATGACATAGTTATATAGTACTTTGACCTCGAAGGTCATGAGAATTGGTTGCTGTCAATATGTTCCGCGGAAACTTTAAACTGATAAGTAATAGCGAGATACTAACACATCAACACCATCAACTTCTCACGCGAAGAAGGTTTGAGCATTAATCACAGAGGTTATCGATATGATACATTAATATCATAATCATTCGATTAGGATGTCGTTTATTCAGGATAATTTTGAACATTTATAATAAAATACTAATCAATATTATTTTAAACAGAGCGGTTGCTTCGGTTAGTTGAGATTTTAAAAATACGTACAATAATAATGCACTAACTAAAAATACCATTTTATTTTGACGTTTCTCCACAAAAGGAGGTTCCATTCCAAAGGAGGTTTTATACTAAGAAAAAAAAAAGAAATAAGTATTAGGCGGGTTTGGCGACCAAACTTTTTTCAGGACAACTGCCAGTAACAGATTTCAATTTTATGTAACCTTTTAAAATTTTAACCATTTTATTATCAGAATTACTAATAAATTATTGCTTTATCTATTTTATTTCGTATTTAGACTTTATCAGCCTGAATGTTTCAGTAGACTTCATTTAACCATTTTCCCGAACACCAACAGCTCATAATTATTAACTTTCCTTAAAACAACGAACAAAATCAACATCAATTCATTGAAAGCACTTTTAAAAATGTCCATAGTACCAATACCAACAAATAAATCGACGCAGTTGCACGTGACATTAATTTTACTGAACATTTTAATGTTTAGCTCTGTGAGGCTATAAAGCTCTAATCTTTCTTTACGTCTTGTTAATTCACTTGACCATTTCAAAATCATTTCGTTTACTTAAGTAGTTTAAAGGTGCTTATAGTAGCATTGATTGTGTCGTATGATTTAGTACTTATTCGATAGATATGCTCAGAAACGTTCCTTAGGTATGTTTGTGTCATTATTCAACGTTATAAAGAAGTCAATGTCGTCGTCGTAAGTTTTGTTGTTCATTCATATATTTAGAAAAATGCCCCTGTTTGTAGATAAATTGTGTTATTGGTCAATAATGCGTCGCTGAAAATATCCATGACAGATTAGACGGTCGTAGCTGCCTCTATTAAAATTTTTCAAGTACATTTCTATCTTGATAAAGTGGGTCATACTCACACTCACACACACACTCTCCTTTAACAAAACGTTTGAAAACAGCAGACCTTTAGTTAAATTCTTTGCTGGCCTTTCATAAATAAGTAGACTTTTAGTGATGTCTCACTAAACAAAGAATTTTAGAATTAATACCTAGAAGAATGCGAGACTAGTATAAATACGTCTACTGACCTGTTTTGAAACCAGACTTGCACGACCCTCATGTCGAGCCCCGTATCATGCGCCAGCTGTTCCCGCACGTGTCGCGCTGGCTTTGGACTACTGCTGTACGCGTTCTTCAAGGTCTCCAGCTGCTTCGCCGTGATCGTAGTCCGCGGCCTCTTACTCGCAGCATCACCGTCTAACGAACCCTCACCGCCTGGACATTGCACATTACAACTGATTTTGATGTAGATTTTGCCATTTTCTTTTCCTATGGAGTGAATAATTGTTGCATAAAAAGTTGACAAATAAGCTATTGGGAGGTTTAAGAGCGCCTTGTAAACAGGGTCTTACATTTTCCCCTTAATGGGGCCTTACAGTTTGCCCTACCCAGAAATTGGGCATAACAACAATTAAAACAAAAAAGGAAAACGTACCTTTCGCTCTAGCAGCTTCGTAGTCAGGTTTACACACGAGCTTTCCATCCTCCATGAGATAGAACTCGTCGCCAGTGTTAAGGGTACGTGCGCAGGCGGCGCAGGCGAAGCAGCGCAGGTGGTAGACGTGTGACTGCGCGCGCCGCACCACCTGCGTCGGGGGGATGCCCTGCCCGCAGCCAGCGCACTTTGTACCGAACCGCCTAGGACAACAGCCGCAATCACAACAACATTATCAACGTGATAGACGCTATTACATACGTGGAGATAGAATGGAAATAGTCGATAGCAATTGCAGAAGTGAAAATAAGGAATTAAATTAGCCGAACTGCCCACGCATAAAGCAATGCCCAAGGGAAATTTAGATTACTTGTTATGTAACGTAGAATGAAGTATAAAGAGGCTTACTTGAAAAAATCATCAGTGCAATAGAGCTGGTTGTTCCTGGCGAAGCACTTTCCGGAGAGCATGGCACGGCACTCGACGCAGCGCAGACAGCCGGCGTGCCACGTGCGGTCTGACACCTTCAGCACGTAGCGGTCTACGATCATCTCGTGACACCCGCCGCATTTCGGGATACTAGCTGCAACACACGCCTAAGTATAAGGATGGAATCATTCACTAATTGTTGATTGGTGCAACAAAATCGGTCTACAGATTTCTGGACAATAATTCACGCATAACTTTATAGGCAATAGTCAACATTTTTAACTAAATTGTTAGCAATATTTACTGTTAAGTAGTTTGTAACCAACGTCAATAATTTTGTGTGTAACTTTCACTATAAAAATCACTACGCAAGTAGCCGGTGTTACTTTTTACTAGGAACAATTTATAACATCAATTTTATTATCAAAAATTAATGTCTGTGTTTTGTGTTGTTTTTTTCTCGTTTCAGTAACTGCTGTTACAAAAAATACAGCTGTTTGTAATTGTAATTTCGTTAAAATATCGGTTAATTACGCCTTAATATGAACACTGATTTCGTTATTGCTTATTTATCTGTATATGTACAAAAGTAATACAAATATGTATCGCCTCAACCAATCTACTATTTGGTAGCTGCTGTTTTGATATGATGTTAAAGTATTCCGGAAAAATATAATAATCTTCGATTTAAGCAACATCTGATTATTGCTTATGTAGAAACAAAATATTTGTACAAACAATATTAACCTCATATTTCGATTCACGGGTCGGGTAAAGTATTATTAGGTTTAAAAAAATTCTCAGTAGTAGCACGGTGTCTGGAATTGCGCCCGGTATATGGCAATAGGCTCACAGGCTGAGTGTTACATTGTAGAGGTAGATACAGTGGCATAATGTGCACCTCTGCCTACCCCTTCGGAGATAAAAGGCGTGATGTTATGTTATGTAATATGTTATGGAGGTTAATAAACCTCCTACTACTAATTCTAATAATGCCATTTTATTGTATCGCAGGCTCAGAGTTCTTGCGCATATTGTTTTCATCTTTATTATAATTTCAGTTTCGTCTTATTCTAAAAAGTATTTTAATTATTTTATGTTAATCAAATTCGATAGTGTAAAGCTTTCTGTTGTCATATTCTATATAATTTACTTTTTGTAATACATATACCTATGTGAGTTTGTAATACATATATTTAAATATTTATAACTTAAAGGTTAGCTCAAATTTGGCATGCAGGTAGGTAGTTAGGTACATATATATGTATAGGTATGACGTAAGCATCCGCTAAGAAAGGATACTGATCATTGATCAATAATAAAAAATATAAACTAGGGGATGAAAGTCTTTATTCTTCTATATCTTGTATTTTCGACTGATTGAGTTCAATCAATATTTAATTTCAAATTTCAGTTGAAATTAAATAGAGATTGAAGCTACTACTATGATGAAGACGTCGGCTTAAATAGGATTTTGATAATTTGATTAAATAGAATAGGACCTCGGAAAGAACGTCCGAGAGTTTTCAACCCGGAAATCCCACGAGAACGGGAAATATGCCTTAAAACCCCATACACTCTATCTTTTAAACCACTGTACTTATTTCATTGAAATGCAGTACAACAATGGTTTGCAACTCAGGAAATCATATCTAATATGATAGTGACAAAATCCGCCAGAAGTCATTATTCAACGTGGACGAAGTCTTGGGCTAGTATATAAATACATATGATAGAAATTCGTGTTAGTAACACTATTTATAATTCAAAAACAGCTAAATCGATTTGACTGAAAATCGGTGTGGGGGGGGGGTTGGCTTAGAACCAGGAGATGGGCATATGATACTTTTTATCCAAGGATTTCTCAAAAACCTTACGGGAACGAGAAAAACGGGATTGCGCCTAAAGAGAACCACAACCATTACATACAAAAAGTTTCAAAGCATGTATCAGTTATCAGTATCATAATTACATTTTTGTTAGTTATCAGTTTATCCACTGGTAAAGTATGAGGCTAAACTGAACTATTATTTTACGTAGGCCACACACACAAATAAATATGTATCTGTCAAATGAGAAGGTACCTACTATGACTATCCTCTAATATACAGGCACACAGCACTCCACACTAATGCAGGAAACAGAGCTTAATGTTAATTTTCAAATTACTATTAATGATATAAATAAAGAAGGCTTATTCAGTAGTTATTACGAAAATGTGAATATTATGGAACACCTAAGATGAAATTTAGTATTTTAGTTCGTTAGTTATTAACATTTCGGTCCTCAAGTTTATAAAGGTAGTTTTGTAAAGTTAACCTTAGATCTGATATCCAAACCTGATCAAATAATTATCATTATCAAACAATAACGATAGTGTCGTGGTAGTTCGGAGGTTTAAGACGCCCGCTTCCCATGCGTGAGGGTACGAGTTAAAAACCTACCAATGGCAAGTACCAATGTAACTTTTTCCGAGTTGTATATACTTTCTAAGATTATTCAGATACCACTGAGAAACGGTGAAGGAAAACATCGTGAGGAAACCTAGGCTTATAATTGCTAATTATAAGTTTAAAATCGCCAGTAACCCGCATTGAGCAAGCGTTGTGATTAATGCTCAAACCGTCTCCGTGTGAGAAGAGACTTTGCTCAGCAGTGGGCATTACCTATAGGCTGTTGATGTGATGACGATGATGATGAAAAACTACAACTGATTTTATAATATATTTCATTTAAAAATTTACCTAAATATAGCTCTAACATTAAAAAAGACAGGAATTAAGCAAAATCTGCTAACAGATCAATTGTGCTTCGAATATAACTAAATTATATAACTTTTATACAACTTTGTAACATAGTATATATACGCATATATATATACGCAACATATATATGTGTTGTACACAGCATACTTACTTACACGGGGTTTATTTACGATGGATATTATATCTGGTACATTATACACGCTTGTTTTTATGCCTTAATGATTTCAAATAATTCGTTACAGATTCGTGTGTTTTCCGATAAAATTATATTAAGCGAAACTATCTGATATGTTAGTACTTATCTACTTACTTAAAACACTACCTAGTTTCTACGTACTGTTGTGTAATCGAACAAAGGTCTTATGCGATAGATTTTTTTGCCATCGGAAAAGCTTGAAATGAAACAAATGGATACAATAATGCTCACCTTTAATTAAATATAATCGGATTTGGTGAAACCCAGGAAATGAAAGTAATATAAAAACTAAACGTGGACACTTTTGGCTACCGATGAATATTTGATCTCCATAGAACCAGTATGAAATGGGTAGCAATAAAAGCTGCGACAAAAAAGAAGAAGTATCCTTACTCAAATAATAAATCTACTGCCTAAAATACTAACTTTCCGACTACTTTTGTCTGAATACGAATACTGAAATCTTTGAAAAATAAACGTGACTGTTCATTGCTGTAATACTTTTCTACCAGCTTTAATTATGTTCTACTGAAACTATGCTTTGTCTAGGTCTAGGTTATTGATTTATGTAAAATATAATAATAAATTATAAAAAGAGGTTTTAAGCTAACCTAAAACCTCTGTTGTCAATAACGTTGTAATTTTGTCGGAGGTTCAGTATTCTGTTCGGTAGTTTATTTTTGTTATTCGAAGATCCATTTTTATAGTCGGTCACAGATCGCTAGAGATTAAAGAGTTTTTCGGAAACATTATTTCGCATACCTGTGTTCAGTTACTTCCACTTAACACTCAAAAATCGTCAAAATCAAAACAAAACGTATCTGGGTTTGCATAGAGTCTAAAGTAATGTTTCTATTAATATTTCCTTAGGATACACAAGCTCTATAGCACAAGCTGATAAATTCAGCAAATATAGTTATTTTAAATGAAGTTGTTCAGATAAAGCACAAATAGTCTCAATACATAAGAAACGTTAAGGCTGTAATGCACTTTCTCCCTGAATTTTTGAATTAATTATGTGTTTTAATTATAATATGTTTGTGTGATTTTAAAACGATTTTATAAATATCGTCGTTACTTTTGCAATAGTTCGGATAGAGGATAGAAGAAGATATTAAATATATACAAGCAATTTCACTAAACAGCTGTTGTTAAAAGACTTGTTGAATGATGAGCAAACTGCTTAAGCTTAAGCTTTATACTTACACGAATATACAAACAATAATACAGTACCTACCTAGAAGATTCGGTACAGTTTGTGAAAATCTTTGACCATATTGTTGGTCAATCAAGGAGAAACGTGACAATAAAAAGGGATAGCATGAATACTTTGTACAACAAATCTGGAAATAACGTCAGTGAGAAATGAGTTTTCTGGGATAGTTTGGACAAGATTTTGTGAATAAATTATTATTTGTAATATGGAAAAGAAATAATCATTATAGTGGACCATACTTGGGCATAAAACCTCAAAGAAGGATATAGAAAAATACCCCAATCGTACAGTTGTACCAAGATGGACATTGTAAAATACTAATAGTGATGCAACGAAACAAGAAATATTAATCAAGGCAAATAAATAGAAAACAAATGAATAATGACATGATAATCAGCGGTGTCAAGTGCAAACAAAAACAAGGAGAAAGGTACTTAATGTATTGAAAACAATAAACGGTTATAACAATAGAAGGAAAATGACTTTCACAGATTTAGATGAATAAATAATGATATTTTCAAAACATCACAGATCCTATTTAGAGCACGTTTAACGTTTACAAACGCAACACAGAAAATAGCACAGCACATGGAACACTGGCACTCAAACACACAACATTACGTACATAGGAATACTTCAGGCAAGTGTTCGAGTTGAATCGGCGGAACTCGCATGTCCTCGAGGTCGGCATCCTCAGCGCCCGGGTACATCATGGCCCCTAACATGGTGACGCGGCCGCCCCGGACCGCTCCGTCCGGCGCACTGCCGCCACCCCGCCGCGCAACCCCCAACCCTCTTATCACCAACTCATCGCCATTGGTCGCCGATAACAACCACCACGCCCACCGACCAATCCACACGTACTCGGGATACACCCACCGATCGATTGTAAAAAGAATTTTCGCAGTATTTCCCACCGATATTGAACACTTTACATCGTTCAAGTGTTTACAGATGAGCGCCGCTGCACCGCTTTA